TCTGTGCTCAGTGAGGAGTCTGCTGGAGATTTTCTCCTCCCCTTCCTCGCTTCCCATGCTCACTCTCTTTCTCGCAAAATAATAAATCTTTAAAGAGTGTTGATTAGATATGTTAGACCTTCTAATATCCTTTTTTCTTCCTTTTGTCTTAGTCTGTGCTGCTTTCTGGATGTTTTTTTCTGTCTTTTAATTCACTGATTTTCTAATCTGCTCTTTACCTTCTTTGTTGAGTTTTTAATTTCCACATTTATAATTTTTCATTTCTAAAAGTTCTGACTTTTAAAGTGCATGGTTATTCTAATAACTACATATATCTTGTTTATTTTTATGCTGTCTTTTATTTATTATAATGTTTCCTATATACTATATTTTCTGTTTTGTATTTGATCATTCCAATATCTAAAGTCTTTGGGAGAGGTCATTCTAAAGATGTTTCTACTGACAAGCTCAGTGTCATGTTTTATTGCTGTGTGATTTTTTTTTTTTTTTGCATAAATGGAAATTACATTCCTTCAGAGAGGATTTGCATATTCTTCTGTTGGGACCCAGGGATACTACAGCCTGAAGCAGCTTTATTTCTTATCCAGGGTCTTAGGTTAACAGGTTTGTCTCAGGTTCAGCTCTGTCGTCTTGTCTTAGCTGTTGTTGATTGGTATTTGCCTTCTGAGCAATACTAAATTTTGGATATAAACTGTGTCACTCTTCTGGTTTTAGCTCAGTTTTTATTTATTTATTTATTTTTTCCTTTTGGGTGGGGATCCTTAGAGATTTCCTTTACTTTGTAGGTAGCTCAATAATATGTTAACAGGATTTTTTGTTCATTTTGGTTTGTAACTTACAGAGTATCTCTCATATTTTAGCAGAGGAAACTTTTCAGAATATCTGGTCTGCCATACAATTGAAAGTAGAAATTGGATGAGATTAAATAAGTACTTTATAAATACTAATTTTGTTCTGCCTTATTAACTTACATTTTGCCTATGCATTTGTAATAAGCATGCTTGACATAAGACAGTTCCGTGTTTGTTTGTTTGTTTTGTGGACACAGTATTTTCTAATTTAAATTTAATATGTACAATACAAATTTTAAGCTTGTATTATTTATTTTGTTATCATTTCATAGAAAAAATGTACATTTCTATTTTCTGTTCTTCTGAAAATAATGAATTACAGGAAAATTCCAACTTGTTTATTGTATATGGGGTGAATGTGTAGAGTGTTTTGTAGATGTTTAAACCTAGATAGGGTTTATATTCAATAAAGATCCAAAGGAATCCCAGTAATTTCTTTAGCTTGGCAATTAACATTTGGCTTATTTAGAGCAGTGATTCTCAACTAGAGGGATTTTGCTGCCTGGGGGAGATTTGGCAGCATCTGGAAACATTTTTTCTTGCCTCTACTGGTTGAGGATGCTACTGGTATTTAGTGCATAGAGGTTGGGGATGCTGCTTTACATCCTACAATGCACAGAGCAGCTCCTTCGCAATAAACAGTTACCTGGCCCAAATGTCAGTAGTGCCCAAATTGAGAAACCCCTGATTGAGAGAAACAAAGTGAAGATAAGGTGTAGATGCTGGTAGATATATTTGGGAAGAAAGGCTTTCCAGTTTTTTTAGAAAAAATGAAGGAAAGCCTTAGAAAGGAAAATTGTTCTCCCCTTCCCATATTTTCTTTCTCTAATTCTTCAGCACATACATTCACATCCATATAGCCAGGACTTGAAAGTCCAAAATCTTTGACTACTGCTACTAGTCAGTTTGACACTCTCTTATTTCTTGCTGTTTCTTTTTCCTCTTATAGAATAATGCATATTCATTGTGGAAAACTTGGAGAGAATAGAAAATTATAAATAGAAAAAAAAAATCATCCTATCCCTATCATTTATATGCAAGAACTGCTAACATTTGGGGATATTTAGTTTGTTTTCTTTGCAGATATTTTATATATAGTTCTGAGAATACTATATAATTTTCATCCTAAAAATTAAAATATAACCATAAGTATGCATAATGTTTACAATTTTATTGTCATTTAATCACTTCCTCTTTGATACTGAGGTGTTCCTGATGTTTTCCTGTTATAAATCCTGTTTGATGAACATCTTGGAGATAGCTGTGTTTCAGATTCCTGTTTTAGAATAGTTTGTTAAAGGGTACTACTAGGTCAAAAGGTGTGAATGAGGTTCTTGTCTTGATACAGATTGGTGAATTTATCCTACCATAGTGTATGAGATTATCAGCTTTCACTTTGGACTTAACAACTTTTTAACAGAATTATTTTATAAGCATGTAATATCTTTATAAAGCTTTTGGAGACTAAAAGGGGAAATCCGGGTATATCCTTGCATTGAGAGTATGGTTAATCTGCCTGGGTAAATGGGATATAAAAGGGTGATTAGAGAAGGCAACATGAACAAATGTAAAATTTCCTTGGAGTTACATAATTTGTATAATTATTCTGGCCTGGCAAAATTGTGTCTTGCAGTTGTGTAAATTGAGTCCTATTTTAAATGCACCGAGTCAGCTCACTTAAAGAAGTCCTGTAGTAAATGCTCTTGTTTAGTGGGAAAAAAATGTCTTTTCATAGTTTGGTTATGAGTTCATTCTGGTTGTATTTGTTTTTTAAGTTCAAAATTTTGTCACATATTTAAGTCATATGAATGCCTTCTTTATGTATAAGTAGACCCTGTGATACCGTAGGGCCATGATATTTGTAAGTGAATAAGCTATATACTGTACTGCTCTTATGAGAGGATATCTGTATAATATAACTAAAAAAGAATCAGAAGTTTCCTCATTTAATGTTCTGAGAAATATAGGGGCATAATTCTGTGCTCTAAAATTTCTTATCCAAAACATAAACCATTGTAATAGTGCTCGACATTTTCTCATTAGAAAATTATTCCTTTGCCTTTTCCTTTTTTAAAAAGGATACTGTAAGAGAGGTGGAAAAGTAAATGGTTGGCTGGAACGAAGAAGGACGTATTAGGAAATAAGGAGAGACAAAGTTGCTAAGTTGGAGGAGTAGTAAAATTTAAGAGAACAATAAGTTAATTCCTTCTTAAGTTATTTTGGAACAAGGTAGGATGTAATTACACATCATAAATTAATAAGCTTCCCTGAAAATGGTGAATCTAGTCTTGTTCTCATAATACAGATGAATTGGAAAAAGAAGCCTACTGCTTTAAATGAATAATGGCTTTCCTACATTTTCACTTTTGGAAATTTGGAAGATACTTTTATTTTTTATTTTTATTATTTTTTAAAGATTTATCTATTTTATTTCACAGAGAGAGAAACGTGGGGGGGGAGAATCTCAAGCAGATTCCCCACTGAGTGTGGAGCCCAGGGTAGGGGCGTGGCGTGGCGTGGGGTGGGGCTTGATCTCACAACCCTGAAATCTTGGCTAGAGCTGAAACCCTGAGTCAGATGCTTAACCAGCTGAGCCACCCAGGTGACCCCTTGGAGATATTTCTGAAGCCTTAATTTATGATTGCAGATTTACTTGAAAATAATTCATTCTGTAGTTTTTTTCATAGCGAAGTTTGTAAGTTTTACAAGGATGAAATTGCTGTAACTCAGTTTTTTCTACTGTGCAGTCTTTGTTTCTGTATCTTGTAACTTAATCAAGAGTTAGAAGTAAATGAGTTAGTTTAAAATTTAAAACAAAACACCAACAAAACCCAACTTAACATTTTCCTTCTTCAAAATATGAAACAGATAAAGTGCTTTGCCCTCATTCAAAGCATGATTCAAAAGATGTACCATCTATCTCTGACAGTTCTGTCAGAGAGAGAGGAGTGGGATATGATAATTGAGGACCTTCTGTTAGTTCTGAATTTCTCTTGTTGAATTACAACATTGTGAATTTCTAGGATTATTATACACCATATTTATTCAAAAATGTTTTCAGGTTATTTTTGGAAGACCTTTGGTTCATTTATTATTTTACATTGTTGTTAAATCTCTCAAATAGCATGATGACTATGACAAATTATGTAAAAGTATTAATAATCTGTTCTAGAACTTGGATTCCAAATGAGGCCTTTGGCAGAGGACATGACTTAAACATAATTTTATGAAACTTTGCATAGATTATTTAACCCTTATTTTTGTAGGTGGTAGAGTATTATATATACTCTATGTTATAGTTGGACAAAATATATATATAGTTGGACATAATATATAACGTATGTTATAGTTGGATAAAATGTAAATAGTTTTTACTCTTCTCTGAGTGCTTTTCTATGAGTTTTTTATGTGCACTGTAAACATCATCAAGAAACATAGAGATAAAGTTTTCTTAAGGCCATCTATACAGAAAGGCTTCAAGACTGTAAAAGAACTTCAGAGGCATTTAATCATGTATCCAGGTATTTCTTGAGTTCCCTCATGTCTTTTAAGTTTCTTCTTGAGCACTTATTACTTTCTAAGGTGATTGAAAATGTCCTTTATTATAAATTTTTATTTGAATTGAAGAAGAGGTGAGACTTCATTCTTATGGGTTAATAATTTCCAGTTTTCTTGGGTTTTCAGTTTTCAGATCAGTCTCAAGCTTAAAGGTAATGGCTATTTTGATTAGAATATGTGTATAGCTCCAAACTTAACAAAATATTGTCATTTTCTTAGGAAATGTGAAAATATTTAAATGGTTAATTGCTTTTTGAATTCTTTACCATAGAGTTCTTACATAGTCTTCTTCCATTAGAAACACAGTAAAGCAATATTTTATTTCCTAGAAGCTCATGTGTTACAGGTGCCATGTATTCCTAACTAGATGGTACTTGAATTTATATTTAAATGCATTATTTAATGTGAACCTAACTTACCTTGAAATATCTGTTATGGGGATTAATCGTTTAAAATAATTTTTTAATACTTTTAGTTTATAAGTGAACACTGTTCACTTTAAATGTTTAAATGTGCTGTTAAAAATGTTTTACACTGATATGTAATTTTTAAGATACATAGTAATAAATTTGTAAATATTTTATCTTTTAGGAGAGGGTTAAATCCACCACACAGGGTAAAATCTATCTCCATGACAACATTCACACAACAAGAAATTGAATTTCTGCAAAAACACGGAAATGAAGTAAGTGTTTTTACAATTTTTAACTTTTTTGTTGGCAATCATTTTAGTAAGATTTAATAAGTTGCTTAGAATGGTGAATTTCGCTGTTTAAAAAGTTATCTTTGTATTCTATATTTAGATATTTTAGAATTACCCATTTAATAATGTACTTAGAATTAATATCTACTAAATATCTAATAAATGCCTTTATCCTGAGGTGAAACATGTATCTAAAACTCATCAGTGTTGAATGTAAAAGGCATTTTTGGAGGACATCTAGTATTGGAGTAACCATTAGTTTTTGCTTTAAAAGGCCAAAAGAGAGAGAACGAGAAAGAGAAATAACTTTGTGGTACTGTAGTAAACTTCTCTTAGGCCATTGTGTGATCAGCTTTTACTTGAGGTCCCCTCATGCCTTTTTTATCATATGCCGAACTTTCTGTTGAGCAGGTGCTGGGAGGAAAGGGGGCTGGCGGTGCTGGCGGCAGCCCATCATTAAGGGGGAACCCAGTAAGAATTTGGAGAGGAGCTTTTTCCTTCTAACTCTGCTTTAATGGGTTTCCAGTAATTGCATTCTGATTGTTTGCTTTCTTGTTTTTGGTTTTATGTTTTTACCATGCTGTTGGTAAAAGTGGTGATCTAGTAATTGAAAAAACTATAAAATTGACAAGAAAAGTGGACATTTTGGGATAAGATTGAGGCAGTCATCCTAATTGATTAATAATAACCATTATTCGTTATTTAATAGGAAGGAGTATTACTTTAGTTAAACTATTCTGCCTGCATATTTTTGATAGAAAGTTGTTTTAAGATTTTATTAGTTTTAATCTTTTCACCCTGAGATGTTATATGTAAACATTTTATAATTTGCCTCTCTTTCTTCCTTAACATTTTGATAGTAGTATCTTAAACTTGCTTGTCTTCTTGTTATGCACATGTCATTTTGGTTCTAAAACAGTGAAGAAGTATAAATTAAAAACTATGAAATATTTTTTAATACATGATATAGAGAAGTGAACACACTATTTTGCTGATAAAAAATTATTTTGCATAATCAACTTCCAGACTGATATGGGAAAATCTAAAGCTAGAGGGAAGGGCAGAAGATTTGTAATGGCTGTAAGTATAGAATAATATATTTACCAATTGAAATACAGTTTGAACTATTTATATATAAAGTTTGAGATTAGACCAGTAGTGTAAACTTTTAGTTGCACTCTTAGAATGTTGGCCTAGAGTGCAAAATTTTGGACATCAGAATGTGGAGTTAGAAATAAATATTATTCTGGGGGCACCTGGGTGGCTCAGTAGGTTAAGCCTCTGCCTTTGGCTCAGGTCATGGTCTCAGGGTCCTGGGATCAAGCCCGACAGCGGGCTCTCTGCTCAGCAGGGAGCCTGCCTCCCCCTCTCTCTCTGCCTGCCTCTCTGCCTACTTGTGATATCTCTCTCTCTCTGTCAAATAAATAAAATCTTAAAAAAACAAAGAAAAATATTATTCTGTTCTTAGATTAAAAAATCTAAATTCAGAGTATTTATTCAGATAAATTCAAAGTTGTAGAACTAAAAAAGTAACGGTCCATTGGAGAAGAAAGTGAAAACATCTGTACCTGTCAAGGAAGTAGCTAAGTTTGGGTGAAGACTGGTCTCCACATACTAAGATTGAAAGAACCTTTAATTTTGGTAAGAACGCTTAACATAAGGTCTCCTTTCTTAAAAAAGTTACAAGTATCAATACAGTATTCTTAGAAAGAGGGATAGTGTTGTACATTAAGTCTTTAGAACTTCCTCATCTTGCATAAGTGAAGTTTGTACCCACTGACTAGCAATTCCCCATTCCCCCTTCTGAGCCCTTGCCATTTGCCATTCTACTTTCTGCTTCTGTGAGTTTGACTGTTTCAGATACCTCGTGTAAGTGGAATCAGACAGTTTTTGTCCTGCTGTGAGTGGCTTATTTCAGTTAGCCTTGTGTCCTCAGGGTTCAATCATGTTGTCAAATATGGCAGTCATTAAGATTGATAGCAAAATAAATTTAGAATATATACAAAGAAATCCTTGATGTTGGGCAACTCATATCAAAATAGAAACAGAATGTAAACTTAGAGGTGACTGGAATGGGTTCATGAATATTAATCCTAAAAAGAGTTGTGCAAATTGGTAGGCCGCTTAAACACTCACCAAGGCACTTGCTGTGCTAGGTACTGTGGATGCATTTATAGGTGTTTCTCATAGGCTTAGCTGACAGCTTAAAATCTAGTTGGGGAGACAGATAATGTAACAGTGATAGTATGTGTTAGATAATTAATGGTAACAATAAAAAGTTTCAGAAGTATGAATATGGAAAGAGGCTCAACTTGTTGGTGAAAGGACAGGATTGGAAGATCTCATAGAGGTAAAAACAGTTAGGACCTAAGCTGGCAGGAAGATACTGGTTTGGTTCATTTGTTTTTGTTAGTTTGTTTATAAGTAATCTCTTCATCCAGCGTGGGACTTGAACTCAAGACCCCGAGATCAAAAGTCACATGCTCTTCTGACTAGCAAATACCCTGTGGCAGGAAAAGATACTGAAGGCAGATCAAACACAGTGCACAAAGAACAAGGGAAATTTATGATAGTTCATACTATTAGAAAATATACCAACTTTTTAAATGTTTGTTAAGGAAGACACACATACTTTGTGTCCCTAAGAACATCTTAAAACCAAAGTATTGGGCTGGGTATATTTAATTCTTAACAATAGTAACAGTATCTGTGTTTTTAAAAACTTAAGAGATGCATAGAAGGTGAGGATTGATAGGAAATGCAGAATGGTTAACAACTTAAAAACTTCATAGACTTCAAATGCAGATGCTTCATTATCAGTTTACCTTATTTAATAAACATTTAAATCATAAGTATAACATGCACAGAGAAAAGTATATAAATCTTAATTTTTCATTCCAAAACATGTTGCCGTATTCTTTGTGTCATCTGTCAGTAGTTTGGAAAGGGCCATACTTAATCACTTACATTTTGGTTTAAAAAGACACTACTGTTGGGGCACCTGGGTGGCTCAGTGGGTTAATAAGCCTCTGCCTTTGGCTCAGGTCATGATCTCAGGGTCCTGGGATTGAGCCCCACATCGGGCTCTCTGCTCCGCAGGGAGCCTGCTTCCTCTTCTCTCTCTGCCTGCCTCTCTGCCTACTTGTGATCTCTGTCTGTCAAATAAATAAATAAAATCTTTAAATAAAAAAAAGACACTACTGTTATACATCTTATGCATGAATGGGTCATGCCTGAAGAGGAGTGCTTCGCCAGTTAACAGTAAACTGACTGACAGCAGTCTGGGTTCTTCTGCTCTGTCCAGGGGGCTTAGTGTCCTGAGGGCCATACTTGGTTCATGATTCCGGTATTGCAGGCTTAAGCAGGTAAGCACAGTGGTTGTTGGATGACTCATAGAGTGATGAATCAACCTATGTTCCACATGCTTTGAATGTTCCTCCAGACATTTATATGTAGGAAAACCTGTGCAGTCATTTGTGTGTTTAACTTTAATCTGTTTTAATGCTTGCATTACAGTTGTGAACAACCTGCCAAAGAAAATCATGCTGCCAAATTCAGGAAAAAGAGTAGGAGGGCACTGCCAAGTTACAGGGCAAAGGACATGGAAGCCGTTTAAGTCCCCATCAGCACAGTGGCCTAGCACATGTGTATATCTAGGGAAGATTGCAGTTTTCCTTCAGTACTGTATTACGAATTGTTCATGGTTTTTGGAAAATCTCAAAACTGATGGCAGTTCCACTTACGGTATTTGAGTCATTAATAAAGTACATCTGTATTGGTCTGTAAGCTGTGGTAAGCAAATTAAGTTATTACTATTTATAAGCATGTACCAAGGACATGCTTAGTATTTGTAAAAATGCATCATTAGTTTCTATATATGTAGTTTACAAAATACTTGAATATTACTTTAGTATCCTCAGACTCCTAGAGTGAGTTCAGTCGAGCAGATATGTACATTATTACATTATAGACCATAGTATGCCAGATGTTAGTAAAATATTTTGCGGTGAAGCACTTTTTATTTATTATTTGAGGAAATTGTTTTCACTTTTTTTTTCCAAAGTAAAATATTTTCCAAAAAAAATCTACATATTTATCTTGCAGTACTTTCTTTTATATCATGATGTTAACTTTGAAAAAAATCTTTAGGTAATCTATGGTCCTCTAGTTGAAGGAATTTCACTATTGGGTTAACTTCTTTTTTTTTTTTTTTTAAACAGATTTTTATTTATTTATTTGACAGAGAGATCACAAGTAGGCAGAGCGGCAGGCAGAGAGAGAGAGAGAGGAGGAAGCAGGCTCCCTGTGGAGCGGAGAACCTGATGCGGGACTTGATCCCAGGACCCTGAGATCATAACCCACTGAGCCACCCAGGCGCCCTATTGGGTTAACTTCTGATTATTAAAGTTAATGGAAGGAGGAATGGTGATCAGAGCTATACATAATTCAATAAAAAGAAAATATATTTGTAATTTTATTTTGAAGCATCAGTTTTTCTTTTCTGGTAGCAAATGAACTCTTCATAATTATGTTTTAGGCCTGAGAATAAAAGAGTTACTACTGATGCCCCACAGGCATACAGTCTACACAGAGAAAATCATGTGATGTTGACAGTATTTGGTTATTTTTATGCTAGATTATTAAAATAACCCACAAAACAAACTACTGCTTTTTAAAAAAATCCTTTTAAAACAACCCATAGAGTAAGGTGTTCTTCTCTGTTAAGGATTATGATGGATTCATTTTTCATTTTTGAAGCAGAGATTCATTAATCACCTACAGTATACCAGGGACTATCCCCTTGGGTACCAGAGATACAGGGATAAGCAAAAGCAGGTATGATTTTGCCCTTATGTAACAGAGTTTAGTGGGGGGAGAGAGATAAGAAAAATCACTTCCGTCAATTCCATTTTGGTTAAAAAGTAAGAAAGGGCTTCAGGGTACCTGGGTGGCTTAGTCGTTAAGCGTCTGCCTTCAGCTCA